GGGGGGGGGGGCTTCTAAAAGTTTGATAAAGAGGGGGAAGTGATACTGGTAGGAGGGATGAATTCCTTACCAATCGATGTCATTGTGTCTAACCCTCAGCAGGCTTCAACCTTGCTTGAAGAGCTTGGTAAGATGCCAGAGAACTTGGAGACCACTCCCCAGGGAGCAAGGCAAGTCAAAGCTTAGAGTGAAGCAAATTTTGAACCTCTGGCTGCCATCCTATTGAAGCATCAGGGTCAAGAATAACATGGAAAGGAAAATGATGTTTGTTTGGTCCAACTGGGATGTGTACAAGACAGTGAAGTGTCTTTGTGGGTCGTGTCTAAGTTGCTCAGTTTCGGGGAATTTTTGGGAGTTTCAATAAAGAGTCTGGAAGAAGAAACCAAGACCTTGCTGGTTGCTTTGGAAAATAGGCATCTAATTATAAAAGTCAAACAGAATAGGAGACAAAGGGAGGAACTTCTGCGACTGACTTGGGGGTTGAATGAGGGGGCTGAAAGAAGACGGTTAGTAGCAGGGGATTTCATTAAAGAAAAAAAGCTGGATATTTTGATATTGCAGGAAACTAAATTGCAGAAAGTTGATTTCCCAGTATTAAGAAGCATCTGGGTTTTTAGCCGTGCAACTGGCTTTTTATTCCAGAAGTGAACACTGCAGGGGGTGTAGCTCTTGTTTGGAATTGTTCCACCTTTGAATTGTTGGATAAACAGGTAGGAGTCTTCTCTTTTACGGTGAAACTTTATTGGCAGCAAATGGACACATCCATATTGGTCTCTACAGCCTATGGTCCCACTGGTTCTTCCCTAAAGCCCTTATTATGGGAATAACTCAGTGCAGTGAGATGTGTGAACAGTCCTGATGTTGTATATGTTGTATTATGTTACTGTAGTCCCTGTTGTACACCATTCCTCGTTTGTTTCTTTGTTGCCTTCTTCTTTAGCCCTATAAGGGCTTTTCTGTAATTGTATCTATCTATCTATCTATCTATCTATCTATCTATCTATCTATCTATCTATCTATCTATCTATATATATATATATATATATATAGGCTCTTTGGGGTGGGGTCGATTCATTCTGGATTCACCCCTGATTTCTGGTGCTTTCTCTCTAGTACGAACTGGTTGTCTGGCATGGTCTCAGAGCAGGTTGCTCTATAATCTGTGTTTACTGGTTACTCTCTCAAGTTTTGTTGGTTTCTGGATTCAACGACTGCTCTAGGGTTGTTTTAATCAACCTTAAAACTGGTTCTATCTGTCCTGTGATTTCAGCAAGAGAAATCTCCTTAGAACTCTTGGAAGTTTTCTGTTCGAAGTGAAATTTCATTGGCTGTTGCCCAGACCAGTTTTACTTGCTCAGAAATTTTCTTTCAGTTTGGACAAGTACTAGAGGAGTTCTGATCTCCTCTCTTGGGCGGCAGCAGGTTTCTTCTTCTTAATTGGACTGTCTCATTCTCAAGTGTTCTTGCAAGCTTCGAACACTTCATCGCTGGCTGCTATTGTTCCAGTCTGAAGAGTTTTCACTAGGCTTTTAACATCCATCTTTGAGCCCTTGGTTGGAAGTCATTTGAATACTGTTTCGATCTGCACAAAATAGCACACTTTTTTCTGGAAAATTCGCAAATCAGGTTGGTGAATTTCTTTTTTTTTTCTCAATCGACTGTTCCATTCCTCTTGGGACCATAGATTTGGTGTTGCCCTAGGGCAATTTTACTCTTCAGTTGCTTTGTTGAGGTTCTGATCAGTTCTGGAGGGTCCCTTAGTTTGACAGCCCTGAAACTCTACTGGTTTGGACTGTCAACACTCAGCACTAGTTGGTTGAAGTTGTTTTGGTACTTTTCTTGAAGGATTTCAATTCCTTTATAGGGTGGAGCATCTCTGTGGTTTGTCCAACTGAAGTTGATTGGTTCTACAATTTTTTGGACTCAGTTTCTCTCTCTCTCTCTCTCTCTCTCTATTTTTTTACTTCAGCCTTGCTGTCAAGGGTGATGAATTTTGTAACACTGATGAGGGAAGCAAGTTAATAAGAAACACTATAGTGCTGGCCGACTCCACCCAAAAGGAATTAGCTGCATGTGAGATCGAAAGAAGGGTCCTCACCACACTCAGAATATGCCCATTCTTGTGTTCTGCCACCCATTTTATTTTTTTGATGAATAATAATAAGTTTATTGATTCAGAAGCAACTTTAGAGTGAGTTCATACGTCATCCCAACGAGAGGCACGAGCTGCAGCCCCTCCTTGAGTCTTACAAGTAAACTAGGAAAG